ACCTTGCACTTGCCAGGCAAGCGCGGTCTCACTGAGCTAAATCCTAGCCCCCCCATCATCCTTTGATAGTCAAGATTGTAGTCTTTTTTTTTTTTGAGACAGGGTTTTGCTCTGTACCCCAAACTGAACTCAGACTCATGGCAATCATCCTGCCTCAGCCTCTCAAATACTGGGATTACAGGTGTGAGCCACCACACCCAGCTTCCAGATTATAATTTTGATGCCTCCTTTATGTTCTGCTGCTGGCTTGCCATACAAAATATCACCAGGCAGGGCTCAAGGTGGTCCCCGAAGTGGAGAAGGGAGTCTTGAGTGACCCCATACACAGGGCAGGTTGCAGGTTCACTGATTTCCATCACAGAAAAAGAATTATCAGGACATGTCAGTAAGAGACATAAAGGAATTTATGAGGCAGAATTTAAAGTATATATTTGCTGGGAATTTAGCTCAGTGGTGTTGCGCCTGACTTGAAAGTGCAAGGGCCTGAGTTTGATCTCCGGTACCAGGAAAAAAAAATTTACACTACCCCATCGAGGGAGTAGTGGGAGGGTGGGTGAAAAAAAAAAAAAGCATATACTCAATTTTTAGAGTCCAGTCCAAGAGAGAGGCACATTATAGTCTGGAGCTAAGAATATGTGTTTTGGTGGTGGAAATTGTCCCTACAACTCTTTCACTTTGCATGCCTATGAAACTAGTATCACATGAACGAAACAAAAATCTTTTGCCAGCTCATACGGTAGCCAGACCCCCTTAGACCATGGCTACTGTGGCCTCTGATTGCATGGATACCTGAAGAGGATGAAATGAATTGGAGGGAACCAGTTCCCTAGAAGTTCCTTCTTGAGCAGGAGTCCTAAAGACCCTGTTCTTAAATGAAATGTAGACCCATTTTTTGCCAGCGTGGACATACATGACTTCTAGCCGAATTAACAGTTAAGTTCTTGATCCCAGCTGAAACCTCCTGAGCCTGGCCTGTAGTGTCAACATTCTGGTCTTCTGAGTTTCTACTGTAGTCAACCATCAGGCTGTGCTCACAGGATTCTAGGGCTTACTTAGCCCACATCTCAAACCTTTCCAAACTCCACTTACAAACCAGCTCCAAATATTTCTAAAGCACGTGGTCAGGTACAGTCACAGCAAGGACCCCACTCCTGGTGTCAGTTTTCAGTTTCCTGTCACTAAGACAAAATACCCAACACTCACAACTTAAAGAGAAAAGATTTGATATGGATCACAGTTTGAGGCGCCAAGGTAGAAATATGGTAGAAGGGCATAGCAGAGCGAAGATGTCTGTAGTTCGTGGGAGTTGGGAAGCATACCGAGGGGATAGTGCCCAAGGGGAAGGGGTGAGAGAACAGGTGTTGTACCCAGGGTCACACCTCCCTGACACAGCCAGGCGTATCCAGAAATGTGCTTCTCTAAGCCCTGTGTCGGCTCCCAAGCCAATCAGGTTGGAGCTGTTAAGCTTAACCACCACAAGTGCCTAGACAAGGGGTGGCAAACCCATGGCACGTGTGCCGCAACAGACTGTTTATATCATTGAGCGCTATCAAAGGTTCAACATCACTGGCCTAGAACATTTGGCAACAAACACAATAGTACTTATAAAATAAACTAAGTCACTCAGTACTTAATAGAGGCCCACTAGTGTGGTCAGGCACACCCCTGAATTCCCTTGGCAGACACGTGTGCTTTCTTCCATAGTCTCAGGTTATACTGTTATTTATTCCAAAGTAGCAAATATTCAGAGTATATTTGTCTATGTGTGTGTCTTTCTTTAGAACACACATGGTGACTTCATACTCTGCCCAGTGTTGGGAGGAGGGTGCTGAGTGATCCTATAGAAGGAGCGGCTTTAGGGGAGAGATGATGAATTCAGTTTCCATGTGTTAATGTGGAGTAACTGTATAGCCAGATACCAAGGAGATATGTTCATTATGCACCTAGGGACGAAGATCCAGGATGAATGTGGATGTTTGAAAGTTGTTAGTATATAGATAAGTGACAGTTGAAGCTTTTATAGATAAAAATCACCTAGGGAGAATATAGAGAGAAGTTAGTCAAAGACAGCATTGTGCTGTGCTTTTTTTTTTTTGGTACTGGGGATCAAACTTGGGACCTTGTGCTTGTGAGGCAGGCAGTAGCACCACTGAGCTAAATCCCTGGCCCCCCAGAAAGAATATTGAAGAAGAACTAGGGCTATTTTTTAAAAAAGTAATAAGGCTAGGTACAGCAGTGCATGGCTTTGATGCCAGCTACTAGGGAGGCTGAGTCAAGGCAAGCCTGGGCAACTTATGAAGCATGCTGTGGCACATGCACCATGGGGTTGCTACCCCTTGAAAAATAACAAGGACTGGGCTGGGGATTTAGTTCAGTGTTTCCACCGCCTGCCTCAAAAACTCAAGGTCCCAAGTTTGATCCCCGGTACCAAAAGAAAAAAAAAAATCTATATTATTAAAAATAAATAAATAACAAGGACTGAGATGTAGCTCAGTGGTGAAGCATCCCTGGGTTCAAAGCCCAGTGCCAAAAGATGAAATGAAAGGACAATCAGGATGAAGAGTTTTGTGGGGACCAAGTGAGTTTACAGATATGAGCAGGTAAATTCCAACCAAGACTCCAAGGCTATCGTGAATGGGGGCAATGCAACGGGCCTTTTCCTTTTCTGGTTTTTGAGACAAGGCCTATGTAGTTCAGGCTTTGAACTCACCATATAATTCAGGCTAGTCTTTAACGTATGGCAATCCTCCTGCCTCAACCTACTGAGTGCTAGGATTACAGGCGTGTGCTACCATGCCCAGATCTGGGCCATTTTATCAGTTAAAACTGTGGTTTTAGGCCAGGCATGGCGGCACAAACCTGAGATCCCAGTACTGTGGAATGCTGGGGTAGGAGGACCATAAGTTTGGGGCTGGGGATGTAGCTCAGGATGAAGGCCCTGGGTTCAGGGCTAAGTACTAAGAAGAAGAAAAAAGGTCTGGAGATGTAACTCAGCATTGCCTGGGCTGAACCCCCAGTTCCACAGGCAAAACAAAAGTAAAACTCAGCATGGTTTTGAAGAAAAACAAGGTAGAAGTTTGAAAAGACTTAAAGAGTACTTTTTGTAGTTTTTTTCTTTGAGATAGGGTCTCCTGTGTAGCCCTGGCTGGCCTTGAACTCAGGATGACCCTCCTGCCTCCGCCTCCCAAGTGCTGGGATTACAGGTGTGTGCTGCCACACCCAGCTTTCAGTTATATGTTTCTCAGGGCAAAAATATTTTTTTCTTTTTTGTTGAGACAGTCTCATCATGCTGGCCTGTAATCCCACACTTAGGAGGCTGAGGGAGGAGGACCAGTGTGAGTTGGAAGCCAGGCTGAGCTATATAGTGAGTTCAAGGCCAGCCTGAACTATATAAGGAGACCCTATCTCAAAAACAAACCATTTTGGAATTAAATATTTGCTGTAGATAATAGAAAATCAACTAGAGATTCCAGAGCTGTGGTAGAACTCTGGGTGTGCTGCTTCGAGGCAGCTCTGCTGCATCTAGCCCTGTAGCTCAGGGGCCTGCTCCAGAGTGGCCACGCTCTGCCCGGGTCCCATGCTGGGCTCCTGTGTACGAGTTTACCTAGGGAAAGAGCTTTGCAGCTGAATGAATTTAAACACAGAACAATCATCTCTCTCCCATCTTCCTCCTGACTCCCGGGATGACCAAGTGTCCCCCAGACTTTTCGTACAGGGGTACATATTTAGGTTTTCACTTTCCGAAGGAAACACAAGACAGTTTTTGTTAGTTTTGTGTTTTTTTTTTTGTACTGGGGATCGAACTCAGGACCTTGCACTTGTGAGGCAGGTGTGGTGCCACTGAGCTAAATCCCTGGCCCAATTGTTAGTTTTTTGTGTATGTTTGTTATTCTTTTCTTCGGCGACTTACCTTTCCATTTTCACCCAAATCTGGTTCATGTGATTTCCTTAAGCAAAAATTCAAATATCCACCTGCAATCTGTTTCTGTACCCCTAAATCGCACCATATATGTTGTAGATCCTGGATTTTTAGGTATTTTTAGATAATGGTTTCTATAAAGTTGAATAACTGATTTCACTAAAATGAGTGTATTTAAAAACTAGAGACCTCTTAAGGTCTCAGCTTTCATTTGGGACTTAACTAACTTTGAATGCAACCTGATTTAACATGTGTTCGCTAGTTGCTTATTCTGGTTAACTGTCTGCCAGACTGAAACATTTTGAAACAGATTGTAAAACAGTATGAAAATACAAGTAATACAACCTTTGTTTTAGGAAATGAAACTATAAAAGGAAAAGAGAACCTTTTTTTTTTTGGTACCGGGGATCGAACTCAGGTCCTTGCGCTTACACAGCAGGCGGCGAAACCACTGAGGTAAATCCCTGGCCCTGGAAAAGGGAATCTTAATGTCCTTAGACCACTGAAACAGTCTGACAGAAACACATGAAAACTTTGCCTGACACATTACCAGTGAGCCTAAATTGTAGCTAGTCCTTGCCTACACATTCGTGTTTCTTGATAGGTGATATAAGCTAAATTAAACCAAGATTTTTTGATGCTGGGTGTGATGGCACAACCCTGTAATCCCAGCACTCAGGAGGCTGAGGCAGGAAGATCACAGTGGGTTTGAGGCCAGCCTCAAAAAAAAACCAAGACGATAAACAGCCTGAGAAAAGAAACAAAAAGATCTGCTTTGGCAGTCATCTCTATTAGCAAGTTTTGCTCTTCAAATGGCTTTTTTTAAAGTTTGTGTTTGTTTCTTGTTTGGGTGCAGGTTTCACCATCTCCTCTGGAGACCGATGGAGCCTGGAGGTTGGACAGGTGTACACCATTTCAGTAGAGGTGTTTGATAAAAGCAGCAAGAAGGTCTACATTTCAGACGTGAGTCTCGTATTCCCAGCTCCTTATATGGATAACCTCTTTCTGGTTAGAAGGCCCTCTTTCTTCCTTTGCACTAACAGTTTAACTTCAGAAATAGAGTTACTAGTTTTTTATTATTTTAACTGGTTCTACCCTTGAGGAACACTAAATCAGAAGTGAAAGATGGGCAGAATTACAGCGGGGTGGAGAACTGCAGTGATGCTGCTTTGGAGGGGTCCCCTGCAACGCACCTCAGAGGTGCTGAGCATGGCACTGCCGTGTGAATACCCAGGGTGGAGTGTTGTGTTCATTCACACTGTAGGGTTTTCTTTCTTTCTTTCTCTCTCTCTCTCTTTTCTTTTTTCTTTCTTTTCTTGTACTGGGGATCAAACTCAGGACCTTGGGCTTTCGAGGCAGGCGCAGGCACCCCTGAGCTAAATCCCCAGCCCTTTGTTTTTGTTTTTGAGACAGAGTCTCGCTATATAGCGCAGCATGACCTCCAACTCACGGTAGTCCTCCTGCCTCAGCCTGCGGATTGCTGTGATTACAGGCATGTGACACCACATCCAGCTTGCTTGCTTCTCTCATTCTTTCTTTTTTTCTCCTGAAAATTATCAACCTATGGAACACCACAAATTATTGTAAATTTGCATAAGTTCTGACTCCTTCTATTCCTGATACTTTTCATTAACAGATCTTTCAAAAACTAGTACCATTTTAGAAGAAAAAACAAAAAAAAACCCCAAAAAACTAGTACCATTTTAAATGACATCTTGCTAACTCAGACCTTCCATGAGGGAAAGCAAAGGTTTTTGTCTTCATTTCTTTATTCCTCGACTACATAATAGTCTTATATACACTTTGGAATTAAGGTGGCTTTAGAAAAGAACATACCTTCAGGTTTGGTTGCTGTTGGGCCAATTTCAGAATCTCAGAATTACGTGCAGCTTCCTGACGGAGTATTTTGAAGAGCAGCTAACTACTGTGAATGGATCTTACCATGTAATAAAAGTCCTGAAAGCTGGTGTGAACATAAATGGATCTCTGACTTCCATTATTCACCAGGTGGGAATTAAAGGATGGTCTTCATAAGCTAAAAACACTGAAGTTGGGCTGACTTGATTTATAAGCAGGTATGATATATACTACCCTTATATTGTACAAAATAAAGAAACTGATAAACAGTAATCTTAGTAGTTTAACTTCTACAAATTTTCCATTCCAAACTTTGTTGCTGTGCATAATTTGCATTTGTGGTCCTTGTGTATATCATTTGGAATTCCTTTATATTATTTCAAACTGGGTGTGGTGGGACACGCCTGTAATCCCAACATTTAGGAGGCTGAGGCAGGAGAATTGCCCTGTGTTCCAGACCAGCCTGGGCTACACAGTGAATTCAAGACCAGCCTGAACTACATAGTGAGACCTTGTCTTCAAAAAAAATTATTTCAAAAAGAAATTATTTCATATGCATATTTCCTGTCAGATACACCTAGGGTTCCTTTTATTCTAAGGTTCCAAAGGGTTGCCTGTGCATAGTGGCCTATGCCTCTAACCCTAGCTGACTCAGGAGGATTGTAAATTCAAGCCCAGCCCAAGCAACAAAGTGACTTAGCAAGAACCTGTCTCAGAATAAACAATTTTTTAAAAGGCCGGGGATGTCGCTTAGTGCAAAGGGTCTGGATTCAGTCCCTGGTGCTGCAGATAAATAAAAAGGTAAATAAATACCTACCAAAGGATTAATATGCCATTGTATCCAGCCCTTCCCTCAACAGTGAACTTCTTTTCCAGGTCTTTACTACTCTCATAACTGAGTATCTTTGTACATTCTTTTTCTCCTTTTGGTTAATTTTCATATGATACAATACCAGAAGTAGAGTTACTAGGTGAAGGTATGAAGAATTAATCTGGTTTTCTTTTTTTTTCTCTTGTTTGTTTTTCTGTTCTTTATTTCATTTTATTTATTTAGATTTTTTTGGGGGGGTACCGAGGATCAAACTCGAGTCCTTGCGCTTGCGCAGCAGGCGGCAAAACCACTGAGCTAAATCCCCGGCCCTTGATTTAGTTTTTTTGAGACAATCTCACTATGTGGTTCAGGCTGGCCTTGAACTCACTATGTAGCCCACTCTGGCCTCAAATTCACAGCGATCCTCCTGCCTCAGCCTCCTGAGCGCTGGGATTATAGCCATGTGCCACCATGCCTGGCTTATAAATTTCTTCTTAATTGAGAACTTTCAAATAAAATCCAAAATCTTCTAAATAATATAAAGATCTGACAAAAATTATCTGGAACAGGTAGTGGCTGTACTATTTAGATTGTGCTTTTCTTTTTGTTTGTTTTTTGAGACAAGAGTCTTGCTTTGTAGTTCTAGCAGGATTTAAATTGACTATAATTTAGGCTGACCTTGGACTTCCAGGGATCCTCCTGCCTCAGCCTCCCAAGTGGTGAGATCATAGGTGTGCGGACTGTGCCAGCTAGATTGTGCTTTGTAGTCAGCTGTAGTCCCTATTACTCTGTTTGTTGTTGCCATTTGGTTTGTTTTTGTTTTTGTTTTGAGACAGTCTCACTATGCAGGCCACACTGGCCTCAAACTCATGATTCTTCTGTCTCAGTCTCCCAAGTGCTGGAATTACAGCTGTGCACTACCATAACCAACTTCTCCCTATTATTTTCATCCAGTTTAATAAACCAGGTTATGTTACCTACCTGTAGGCATTTGACTCTGTGACTCTACCTGAATGACTGGCCCCTGGAAACTTCTGCAGCCTCAGGTTTTCTCACTCTCTAGGAACTTTTGTTTTTTAAACAGGGTCTCTGTAGCTCAGGCTGGCCTTGAATTTACTATGTATCCTAAATTGGCCTTGAACTCTTGGTGATCCTCCTGCTTCAGCCTCCCGGGTGCTGGGATTACAGGCATTTACCACCACACCTGCCTTTATGAACTTTTGGTTCCCAGAAAATGCCTTGCTCTTTTTTGCTCTAAGTTTTATTTCCATTTTTTATTATTATTATTATTTTTTGGTACTGGGGATCAAACTTGGGTCCTTGTGCTTGTGAGTCAGGTGATGGAACCACTGAGCTAACCGCCCCCCTTATTTCCATTTTTAAAATTTTATTTTGTGAACAAATGTAGTTCCTTTTGTATCTGACACTCCCTGCTCAGCATACAGGTCCATAATCATCATGTTTGTATCTTTCATCAGATTATAGACTTGGAAGTAATGAGTAGCTTTGTTCACAGCTATTTCCCTGACATATAGCAGAGTGACTGACATATATTTAGTACAAATAAGTATCTGTTAAATGAATTAATGATATTTGGATTAGTTCAGTCAAATATGGATCTCCATTCATTGTTAGAATATGCCCTGCCTGGGCCGGGGATTTAGCTCAGTGGTGCCGCCGCCTCCCTTGCAAGCACAAGGTCCTGAGTTCAATCCCTGGTACAAAAAAAAAAATCTATTTTGCCCTTTTCTCTTGTTTCTATAGAATAACAGTATTCAGCCTATCAAAGTTCTGACTCAACACCAGCAAGAAGTGGTTATTTATTTCCCCATCAAGCTCACACCTGCCTCCCTGGCATTTCCTCATCATCCCCTGGGAGTGCTGTATCACTATCAAGTACAGGTGAGTACAGGTGAGGTGTCCTAGCGAACTCACAAAGACTAAGGTCAATGCCTTTGATAGGTTAGTTTATTGAAATTTGGTTAAAGTCACATTTTATTTTCCCCAGTCTTTGGGGGGCGGGGGATGAGACAGGGTCTCACTGTTCACGCTGACCTCAAACACATGGTGATCTTCCTGCCCCAGCCTCCTGAGTGCTGGGATTACAGATGTGAGCCACCACGCCTGGCCACCGGCTTCACCTCCAGTCTTTTTTTTTTTTTTTTTGGTACCAGGGATCGAACTCGGGTCCTTGTGCTTGCACAGCAGGTGGCGAAACCACTGAGCTAAATCCCCACCCCCTAACCTCCAGTCTTAATAGTATAACTCAGTTTTTGGTAACCTCCAAATCATGCATCTATAACATCTGTCTATCTTCCATATATTCTTTCCTTGTGAATTTTACAAAGTTTTGTTAAATTGCCTTGTTCCCCATTGTTTTTCTTTTGTGGAAGTACTGGGGATCAAACCCACAGGCACTCTGCCACTGATGTTCCCAGTCCTTTATTTTTTATTTTAAAACAGGGTCTCGCTAAATCCCCCAGGGGAAATTGAAACTTTCAATTATCCAGCCGGGCATGGTGGCACATTCCTGTAATCCCAGCATTTGGGAGGCTGAGGCAGGAAGAATCACTACAAGTTTGAGGGTAGCCTTGGCTACATAGTGAGTTTGAGGCCAGCCTGAACTACATAGAGAGAACCTGTCTCAAAAACCCAAACACCAAACCAAAACAAAAAACCTTTCGGTCCTCCTGTCTCAGCCTCCCAGAATGATGGGATTTTAGGCATAAAACATGCCCAGCTCCTTGCACCACAGCCCCTCTTCCTTGTTGTTGTTGTTTGTTTGTTTTTTCCTGTACTGGGAATTGAACTCAGGACCTTGTGCTTGTCAGGCAGACACGGCACTGCTATGTTGTTTGAATTTTTTTTTGTTTTTTTTTGTTGTTGTTGTTGTTTTTGGTACCGGGGATCGAACTCAGGTCCTTGCGCTTGCGCAGCAGGCGACAAAACCACTGAGCTAAATTCCCGGCCCTGTTGTTTGACTTTTTTTTTTTTTTTTTAGTACCGAGGATCGAACTTGGGTCCTTGCTCTTGTGTAGCAGGTGGCGAAACCACTGAGCTAAATCCCCGGCCCTGTTGTTTGATTTTTAAGACTAGGTCTCCCTGTGTAGTTCAGGCTGGTCTTGAACCCACTATGGAGCAAGACTGGCCTTGAACTTTCAGTTATTTCCTTCCTCAACCTCACAAGTGCTAGGATACAGGCACGTACCACCCCACACAGCTACTTGGCAGTTTCTTAATGTGTACAGATATAACCTGTTATGTAGTTTTATTCTTAAACCGTATTTCACCACTCAAGCTTTCCATTTTGACTTAAACTCCATTTTTCCTCCTGTGTAATTGAATATAAGGTTGTGCTTTCTCCCAGGCGGAAGGTGATAGTGGCAACTTCACCTGGACTTCTTCTAATGATACAGTGGCTGTGGTCACCACTAAAGGAGTAGTGACTTCGGGTCGAGTCAGGGGGAAAAGCACAGTGTGGGCCCGAGCTGTGCAAAATCCCTATCGGTGTGGGGAGATGAAGGTAAATGATCTCCAAAGAAACCGCTTTGCCTCTGAGACACTGCTAAATGTCTAAGTGTTTAAATCTAAGTACCTTACTGTGTTTGAAAATATTTTTAGTCTAATTTCACTATGTAAAAATGTTGCTCAAATTTATTCTGGAAGTACATATTGCTTAAATATTTCTGAACCTGGGTTGAATTCTGCTTCACTTAATAACCATTTATTAAGCTGAGCATAGTGGTTTGTGCCTGTAATCCCAGCACTCAGGAGGCTGAGGCAGGAGGATTGCTTGGAGTTCAAGGCCAGCCTGGGCTATACAGGGAGATCCTTTTTCAAAAACAACAACAAAAAATAACACCTTACTTAACATCAATGTCTGTTCTCTAAAATGAGGAGAAAGTTAGCATCTAGCTCAATAATCTGATAAGAACCTGTCAAAATAAAATGAGATAAATCAAACCTGTCAGAGTATAATGTTTAACTCAGTACTTGACATATTCAATACTTACTGATAGCTGTTTTTCTTCTTATTATATATACAATTTTTTTTTTGGTACTGGGGATCGAACTCGAGTCCTTGCACTTGCACAGCAGGCGGTGAAACCATTGAGCTAAATCCCCGGCCCCATATACAATTTTTAAATGACCTTTATATACCTTTATTTGTAGTCTCACATTTTTGTTTGTTAATCTTTTTTCTGTAAGATTGAGAATACCTTTTTACTCTATTTTATAACCATCTCCCTATTTTTCTCCCACTTTCAATATAATGTTGCTTTTCACTGCAGGACTCAGCATTTTTCTATTATTCAGCAATCATTTATTGAATATTCTGTAGGTACTTAACACCACCCTAGATGTCATAGGGTATTAAAAAAACATTTAGGGGCCAGGGATTTAGCTCAGTGGTTCTGCCGCCTGCCTCGAAAGCACAAGGGCCCAAGTTCAATCCCTGGTACAAAACAAAAAACCAAACATGTAATGTGCTGTCCTTATTTTAAAGAAGCTGAAGTCTAGGTAGAAAGATATATTCACATGAAAAGTTCAATAACATGTTAAGGAAGTGATATGTAAAGTTTCTTTTATTTAAATTTCATTTTCTTTTGTTGGTTTTTTTTGAGACAGGGTCTCACTGTGTAGTTCAGGCTGGCCTTGAATTCACTATGTAGCCCAGGCTGGCCTCCAACACATGGCATCCTCCTGCCTCAGCCTCTTGAGTGCTAGAGTCATAGGCATGCACCACCATACCCGGCAATGTGAAGTATTTTAAAGGAGAATAGGACTGACAGCTGCTTGAGTTGTATGGAAAAGTACTATTTGTTTATAAAGGAGGAATCTTTGTGGATGGGGCCACAGTAGTTAGAGACTATCATGCAAGGGTGAGAATTAGAGTTAAACTCTAGATGAAGGAAGCAAACCAAGGCCTCAGGACCAAACCCAGACTGCTGGCTTGTGGTAAGGGAAGTCTGTCAGCGCTCCTCTTCATTGTCTGTGGCTGCTTTCGGCTCCTCTGCAGAGCTGAGCAGTAGTTGCAGACACCTGGTAGCCTGCATGAGTGCATTTACTCATTTACTCTCTGGCCTTTATAGAAAGCATTTGCCATTCCCTGCTGCACACACTGGAGAGTGACACTGGTTTTTATACAGGCCAGCAATATGGTGAAGCCTGGGTGTAGAAGGATATCTAATTATTTTTATAGGTAGACAAGAACAATGATAGTTAAAAAAAAAACAAGATAGCTGGCTGGTGCTACAGACTAGTAGACTAGAGTGAACTGCAAAGGGTGAGTAAAGGCGGAGACTAGTTAGGGGCGAGGGTGTGGCTCAGTGAGAGAGCGCTTCCCTAGCAGATTGATCTTGGGTTCCATCCCCGGGACTACAAGAAATCAAAATAAAACAAAATCCCAGTTACGCCCAGACTAGTGAAATGGTATTGAGAATAAACAGAAGTAGACAAATCAAGGGCTTGATTTGGTTCGTTTTACAGGTAGACAATCAAATTTGATGCCTTTCTGAGTGAGGGAGAGTGAAGGATTTAAAGGTAGAGATGATGAGGTTTCTAGTTTTGGCTGCATCATGGAAAGGAAATAGAAGAAGGCATAGTAGTGCATATCTGTCATCCCAGCACTCTGGGAACTGAGACAGGAGGATCACAAGTTTGAGCTCAGCCTGGGCAACTTAGCAACTTCATGAGACCTGTGTCAGAATAAGAACTGAAAAGGACGGGGATGCAGTTCATTGTGAAGGCCCTGGGTTCAGTCCCCAGTACGAGACAGACAGCGACAGCAACAGCATGAACTCAGGGTGTAGCTCAAGGATCCTGGGTTCAATGTCCAACACTGCAAAAAAAAAAAAAGTGGAGTTGCAAAAATGATGAATTCAGTTTTAGATATATTTAGTATGGTTATGGAGTATCTAGATGAGTGTTCGTAATTGGAAATAGAGGTCTGAAGTTCAACTGAAAGATTAAAGCAGCCAGGTGTAGTGGTGCAGGCCTGTGATCCCAGTACTTGGGAGGCCGAGGCAGGAGGATCACTGTGAGTTCGAAGCCAGCCTGAATGACATAGTGAGACCTTGTCTCAAAAGAAAGAGAGGGAGAGAGATTAAGGGTGATGAATTAACAGTGTATAGTTGGTCAGTGAAATTTTAGGACTGATAAGATTTCCCAGGAAGATCATACAGGATCAGAAGAGAAGATAGATTCTCTGTAATGTGTAATTTTAAGGGACAAAGACAGGCAAAAAATTAGCAGAAGAAACATGGAAAGTGAGAAAAATGACAAAAGATAAAATACACTGTTTTTAAAAGTGTCTAGGGTTCGGGCATGGCCCAGCTAATGGAGTGCAGCTCAGTGTGGGTGTAGCCTGTTCAGCCTCTAGCACCCCCCCAGCACAGAGAGTGCTCTGAAGGCACTGGTCTTTGCAGGTCACATGCCTCTGACTCACATTGTTTTTGTTGTGGTGGTTGTTAATTTCACAATTCTTTAAAGACCCTGAAAACCAGGACTGGGGCTACAGCTCCATGGTAGGATGTTTGCCTCATGTGGCAAGGCCCTGGGTTCTTTTTTGTCTTGTTCTGTTTTGTGGTGTTTTTTGAGACAAGGTCGTTCTGTGTAGCCTAGGCTAGCCTCAAACTCCTGACTATCCTCCTGCCTCAGCCTCCAGAGTGCTGGGATTATAGGCCTGCACCACCATGCCCGGTTTAAGGCCCTGGGTTCAATCCCCAGCACCACCAAGAAAAAACGAGCCATTCTTGACTTTGTACACACCATCACATACAGACCATCATTTGTCAGACCCCTGCTGGCATCAGCTGACCTAAAGGATTAAGGAAGGAAAAGAGAGACATTTCGGTACCCACTGTGAGTGTTTAGGTGCATGTGGAAAATAGTGAGTAGCCCTGACTCCTCAGGGTGCACAGGGGATTGGCTCCAGACCCCTCAGATACAAAAATCTGTGGGTGGTCAAGGTCCTTACATAAAATGGCATAGTAGTTTGTGTCAGCTCATCCACTGTTCAGGTGTAAAACAGACTTTGCCAGATGCTGCGTAGAAACTTGAAAAGGCCAGTTTGCGCAGTTCAGGGTGGAGGTTTTAGCCTTAAAGCCGAGAGTTGGGAGGAATCTTGGAGGGGAACATCCCCTACAGTTACACCTCTGTCTCCTGGCAATCCTCAATCCTCTTTTGTTGTCTGATTTCTTTTTTTTAATGTTCAAAAGGAAGAGCTTCATTCATGCCTTACCTCTTAGACCTGAAATAAAAGGGGTTTATATTTATGTTCTCAAATGAAACGTTTCTAGAAATCATGTTTATTACACAATTCCTCTAGTAACCACAAGGAATATAATCTTATATGTAAACTAGAATTTTAGGATTATTTGAACCTTTGAGGTAATGTTAAGATTTTATTGATTGACTAGAATCAATCAGTATGCATAAAGTAGAGCAATAGGATATTTTTATAGAAAAACCCTTTTAAGGCAATAGAACTTAAAAGTAAAACCCTTAGTTGTAACCATTTTACCAGTTTATTTGCTGAAAGCAGAGTTCTTTGATAATTTGTCAAAATTCTCTAATGCCTCCTATTTGTTACAGCTTTTCCAGTTACTACTGTTTATTCTTTGTTGTAGTTGGGTTTTTTCTGGTACTGAGGATCAAACTTGGGATCTTGCACTTGGAAAGCAGGCGTTGGAACCACTGAGCTAAATCCCCAGCCTACTACTGTTCATTCTTTGGTTTTGTTTTTGGGGTTTTGTTGGGGTTTTTTTGGCACTGGGGGGATCAAACTCGGGACCTTGTGCTTTTGAGGCAGGGGACGAACCACTGAGCTAAATCCCCAGCTACTGTTCATTCTTATTCTACAGCACTGCAAGATCTTGAAGAATGTTTTATTTTTTAGTAGTTTAGTCTTAAATTGTATTGAATAGTTTGCATTGATTTTATTAGATTCTTTGAAAATTATTGGTGAATGGACAGCATGCATGTCATTGAGGGCTGTCTGGAATCTCTGAGGAGTGATTTAAGAGGTCTAGGGCCGGGGATTTAGCTCATTGGTTCTGGCGCCTGCCTCGCAAGCTGAGGACCCGAGTTCGATCCCTGGTACCAAAAAAAACACAAACAAACAAAAAAGAGGTCTGTTCCATTACTTATATATAACAAAAAATTAGTAATTCCAACATGTTGGCTTCTCAGCTCCTAAATGTGACACAATTTTATTGTCAAATCTAATATTGTGATTTTAGGCTACAAAAGCATCATCATGTATGCTTTGACTAATTTTTATTTATTATGAACATTTGAGCAGCTCACTAGGCTAGCCCTCCTCTGTGTTGGGTAAAAGTGCTTACTATATTTTCTACCACATAATTTGAGAGCAGCATATATTTTGCTAGTACTTTTTGTTTTTTCCCAGTACCAGGGATCAAACTTGGGACCTTGTATTTACGAGGCAGGCAGCGGTACCACTGAGCTAAATCCCCGGCCCTTTTGCTAGTATTTTTCAAATTGTCTGTTGCTATAAAATTTCAGACCCTAAGTCCTAAGGTATTCTGATTAAATTGATGAATACTGTTCCAGACCCTATTTTCTGCAATTCTAAAGAGAGAATAAAGGTTATGTTTGTCTTTGCTTTAAAAAAACAAAATAAAATAAAATGGCACAGTAGTTGCCTATAACCTGTGCAATCTTTCCACATACTTTAAATCATTTCTAGACTAATTATACCTGCTACCGTGTAAATGCTGTGGGGATATTTGTTATGCTGTCTTGCTTAGGTAATATTGACGAGGGAAAAGGTCTGAAATGCTCAGCACAGGTGCAGTGTTTTCTCGAATATTTTCAACCATTAATTGGTTGCATCCTTAAGAACAGAACCCAGGGATCTGGAAGACTGGCCCGCTGTATATAATATGAATAACACATGTGGGTTTTTTGTTTTGTTTTGTTTTGGTACCGGGGATCGAACTCAGGTCCTTGTGCTTGTGAGGCAGGTGGCAGAACCACTGAGCTAAATCCCCAACCCGACACGTGTTTTTTATATGAAACACATTACATATATATGCACACATGTTCATGTGTGGGCATTTAAATGTTTAAGAGATGATTTCTTCTAAGACGTCCCTCAAAGGTGAGTTGTTTCCCCCCAGGTGTATGTCCTGAAACTGAACAAAATGGAACTGTTACCCTTCCGTGCTGATGTGAGATTGGCCAGATTATAGAAATCCGCATCTCAATGTATCACATGAATGAGACCAAACAGGCTGTGGCATTCACAGACTGTTCTCATTTACCCATGGATCTCGACATGGATAAGCAAGGCGTCTTCATTCTCCTTGAAGAAGGTAAGAGTAGTAGATAAATAAGTACAGGGCTGGGGATGTGGCTCAGTGTGAAGGCCTTGGGTTCTAACCCCCATGCCATACGAAGAAGAAGAAGATGAAGAAGAGGAGGAAAGGAGGAAGAGGAAGAAAAAGTACTTACTTTTTATTTTCTTCTTGTCTTTGATGAAGGGACTAATCATCAATTTAGAAACTACTAAATATAGTCTAAAGTCACACAATTACTTTCTCTTTAATAATTTTATTCTGTCAACTTCCTTGAAGAAGGTATTGTTCTATTTAATTTATAAATGCAGAAAGAAAGGCACAGAAATTGAATAATGTGGCTGGATAATACTAGGTTTCAGCTCCTAGCAAAATTTGTTTCCAGACTCAAGCTTTTTTCTTCTTTTATTCTTTTCTGCACTGGGGAATCATCCCAGGGTCTTTTATTTGAACCTTTGAGGTAATGTTAAAACCAGTCAGTTGATTTTATTGATTGCCTGCTAAAGAAGCATTCTACCACTAAGCTATATCCTCAGTACTTTAAAATAAAATTTTAAGGGCCAAGGATTCAGCTCAGTGATTCCACTGCCTGTCTTGCAAGCACAAGGTCCCGAATTCAATCCCCCGTGCCAAAAAAAAAAAATTTTTTTTTTAAAGTTTTCAGACACAGTCTTGCTAAATTGTACAGGCTGGCCTCAAACTCATGAACCAGAGTAGCTGGGATTATGGGCATGCACCACCACATTTCCTTCTTTCTTTAAAATATATCATATTTCTTTCTAAGAGGAGAATAGTGCCACTTAATGTCCATGATATATAATTTATTCAAAAAATAAGAACTATCTTTTTACTAATGAAAATATAATGATAATTTATTCATAAAAGTCAACCCCCTAAGCCAGGTATGGTGGTGCACACCTGTAGTCCCAGCATTCTGGGGACTGAGGCAGGAGGACTGCAAGTTTGAGCCCAGCCTAGGAAGCTTAGCAAGACCTTGTCTCAAAATAAAAAGTCACAAAACGGCTTGAGGGTGTAGCTCAGTGCAGAGGCCCTAGGCTCGATACCCAGTACTGGAGGAAAAAATCTTCCATTTGTGTAGCTTAATTTTCTTGAGAACTGACTATGCAGCTCCTTACTGAAGCCATGCTTTTGGTTTGAAGGTATGCAAAGACCTGGACGGATGCACTGCACCAGTGTGCACATAGTGGCCAGGTCTCCAGGGCACACCCTGGTGACCGTGCAACTGAGTGACCATGAGGAGCACCTGCAGAGCAGTGCCACGTTCGCTGCATATGAACCCCTACAGGTGGGAGCTGCCGTTGCAGCATTGCCGCTTCTTGTGAGCCAGCTGTGTGCACCTAGCAGTACCCAGCCACCTATGGCCTCTGCCCAGGGTCCCTGATAACTGTGTCCCCCGACTGACTGACTTACTTGTGTAGTATTTAGTTGCTAGGGACTGAACCTGTGGCATTACGAATTCAAGGCGAGCCCTCTACCACTGAGCTATATCCACAGCCCCACCATTTTGATTTTTGTTGTTGTTGTTGTTTGTTTTTGGGTTTTTTGAGACAGGGTCTCACTATATAGTTTAAGATGACCTTGAATTCACTGTGTAGCCCTGGCTGGTCTCAACTCTGTGACGATCCTGCCTCAGCCTCCCGAGTGCTGGGATTACAGGTATGCCACACCACACTCAGCTACTATTTTGTTTTTAGACCTAAAGTCTCTCATAAAAGCTGAGTTTCAAGGAGTGTCCCTCATGCTTCCTGAATTAAGAAATTCAGGAACATTACTAAGTTTTAGCTATTCCTCCCTTTCTTCTTCTCTTCCTTCTTCCTCCTCCTCTTTTTCCTCTCCTCTCTTCCTCTTCCTCCTCTTTCTCTTCATCTTCTTTATCTTCTTATTCTTGTGGCACTTGGGTTTGAACCCAAGGCCTTCTCTTATTTATTTTTATTTTGAGACAGAGTCTCGTTATGTCACTAAATTCCCAGCACAGACTCAAACTTGAGATCCTCCTGCCTCAGCCTCCCGAGTGCTGGGATCACAGGCATGTGGCACCATGCCCAGCTCTTTTCTTTTTCACTGAGGTATAAAATATATGCAATTATGTATAAAGCACCCTAATCTTAAGTGCGATTTGGATTTTACATAAGTATATATCTCTAGAAACAGGAAGATATTGAATATTAGCATACTGCCTCTTAAAGAACCCTGAAAGATGACTTTCTGTCCTACGAAGGGAGGTCAGTTGTCTTTTACCCTACCTATGTTCTTATGGATTTTTCAGTAGAGTAGCCTTTATTTTTAGACCTAAGGATTGGTTCATGATAATGAGACAGTGTGACAAGTGGTTCAGAATAAAAGTAGATAGAGTTTGGCCTACTCTACATATTTGATTCTATCAGGAGCTAAAACTGATGTTTACAAGTTCTTGTTAGATACTGACAAATCCAGACTCAGTGACTCTGGGGATAAGGGATAAATTAGCACTCTTGAGAGAAGTGAGAAAAGTTACTAAGTTTTTAAGCTCTGGGGTATAGTTTATAAGGAAACTGGGTGTGTGGTGTATGGCTGTAATCCCAGCACTCGGGAGGCTGAGGTAGGATCACTGGGAGTTCGAGGCCAGCCTGGGCTGCATAGTGAGTTCAGGGCCAGCCTGAGGTACATAGCAAGATCTTGTCTCAAAAAAAACCCCAATAAACAAACAAACAAACATAGGGTTCAAGCTGGGTGTAGTGGCACATGGCGTGTAATTCCAGAATTTGGGAGGCTGAAGTAAGAGGATCACCGTAGCTTAAACTACGTAGCAAGACTCTGTCTCAAAAAAACATAAATAAATACAAAATATAGGGTCCAAATGTCTTATTGGTTTCCTAGTGGATGAAGTATTCTGTTTGCCAGGTTAAGTAAAACTGCCTGGCTGTAGCTCATTGTGGTTTCATTAGGTTGGTTGGTTATTTATTTATTTATTTATTTGGTACTGAAAGGGCTGGGATGTAGCTCAGTGGTAGAGCACTTGCCTGGCACGTGCAGCGCCCTTGGTCCAATTTTCAGCACCACAGAAAAAAAAAAGGTGGTACTGAAGATTGAAACCAGCTGGGGATGTGGCTCAGTGGTGCTGCTGCCTGCCTCGCAAGCGCAAGCTTCCAAGTTCAATCCCCGGTACAAAAAAAAAAAAAAAGGATTGAAACCAAAGGCCTTTTCACTGAGCCACATCCCCACACCTTTTTTGTTTTGAGACAGGGTCTCCCTAAATTGCCCAGATTGGCCTTGAACTCGTCGGCCTCCTGCCTCAGCCCTCCAGACTGTGGGGTTTCAGGCTGCACCACCATGCCCATTTTCTCTTACTTTTATCCTTAGTCTTATTTCATATTTACTGAGTGACTAAAAGTCAGATCTCCCCTGAATGTAAAACATACTTAAAGGAAAGGATGATTTCCCTTTTCTACCTAATAATTTAGTCAGACATCTTTCCCTTTACCTGCTTTAAAAAAACATGTAAAATTATGTGTCTTGGGGCTGAGGGTGTAGCTCAGAGGGAGAGCACTTGCTCAGTACTCCAAAATCAAAATTGGAAGGAAAAAATGTTGGACAATACATCTAAGAAGGAATAACTTCTATTGGGAGACCTTCCATGAAACCTTTCCTCGGTTCATTTTTTCTGCTTATTTCTTATGTAAAAGGGTTATATAGCACTCTGAATTGTATCTTTTTTTTTTTTGGTACCAGGGATCGAACTCAGGACCTTGCACTTTTGAGGAAGGCAATGGCACCACTGAGCTAAATCCCTAACCCTTCTGTATTGTATCTTCTTTTAGTACTTGTACTCTTTTTTTTTTTTTTTTGGTGGTACTGGAAATTTTGTTTTTGTTTTTTGGCTTTGTTTTTGAGACAGGGTCTCACTTTGTAGTTCAGGCTGTCCTTGAACTCACTATGTAGCCCAGGCTGGCCTTGAACTTGAAGCGGTCCTCCTGCCTCAGCCTCCTGAGTACTGGGATCACAGGTGTGCACCACCATGCCCAGCTGGTACTGGGAATTGAACCCAGGCACTTCCCACTGAACTATGTTCCAGTATAGATAGATAGATAGACAGACAGACAGATAGATAGATAGATGGATGGATGAATGCATATAAATATATAAATATTTGTAGGGAATCTATATAGATATCAATCTCACTATGTAGCACAGGCTGGCCTTGAACTTACAGCAGTCCTTCTGCCCTAGCCTCCTGAGTGCTATGATTACAGACCTGTGCTACCATGCCCAATTAATTTTTTTTATTTTGAAATAGGATCTCACTAAATTGTCCAAACTGGCCTAGAACTTACGATCCTCCTGCTTCAGCCTCCTGAGTAGCTGGGATTACAGGCTTATCCTGCCATGCCTAGTTTATGCAATTATTTAGACAATATCTTTTAGTGCATCGCATTGTACTAAATCCTGCTGAGGAAGAGAAATCCTGTAAAAAATAATGTAGCCATGCATATAGCTGGGATAGTGGCACACACCTATAATCCCAGCACTAAGGAGGCTGAGACGAGGATCACCAAGTTCAAAGCAAGTTTGACCCTCTCTCAAAAAGTAAAAGGAGGGCTAGGGATTTAGCTCAGTAGTTCTCCGGCCTGCCTCGCAAGCACAAGGATCCGAGTTCAATCCCCAGTACCAAAAAAATAAAAAATAAAAGGAGCTGGGCTGGGGATTTAGCCCAGTGGTGCCGTTGCCTGCCTCACAAGCACAAGGTCCTGAGTTTGATCCCTGGTACCACAAAAAAAAAAAAAAAAAAAAAAAAAGGAAAAGGAGCTAGGAATGTAGCTCAGTGACAGTGCTTATTTAGCATGGGTGAGCCCCTGTTCAATTCCCACTATCACACATACACACCAGAAAAAGATAATTCTCTTAAATAGTTTATGTAATGAACAGCAGAGTAAATAGTGGAGGATAAAGAAATGGTTATGGTTTGGAAAGACTGGAACCAAATTAACAGATTAGGTAACACATCAATTAGACTTGAATGATCGTAGGATCTACCTTAGTACAGCGTTTGAGAAGTATTCCAAGAGAGGACCATTGCATACATGTCTCTTAATCATTTTCAGCATATTCAGATAACTAGCTTTTCACCAGGCATGCTGGTACATGCCTGTAATCCCAGGATTTGAGGCTGAGGCGGGAGGATCACTATGAGTTCCTGGCCAGCCTGGACTACATAGTGAAGCCCTGTCTCAAAAAACAAAAAACCCAGGGCTGGGGATTTAGCTCAGTGGTTCCGGCACCTGCTTCGCAAGCTCAAGGACCAGAGTTCAATCCCTAGTACCAAAAAAAAAGAAAAAATTAAAACAAAAAACAAAAAACCCTACACAAAAACTTCTTCACCCTAAAAAACCATTGAGTCAACCATCCTGTAGATACATAGTCCTAACCTACCCTGGAGATTGAGGCAGGAGGATCCCAACCCAGCAGCTCAAGACCAGCCTGGGCAGTGTAGTGGTACCCTGGGTCCAGACGAAGGAAGTACAAACAGCTGTCACATTCCCCATCGTCAGGGGTTGATCTCTTTCTCTAACGTCCTCAGGCCCTCATCCCCGCGGAGGTGGCGTTGGTGACGTGGCGCTCTGTGAAGGAGATGGTGTTTGAAGGAGGCCCGCGCCCGTGGGTCTTGGAGCCCTCCTGATTTTTTCTGGAGCTGAGCACAGAGAAGAGAGAGAAGATTGAAATAACGGAAGTCCGGCTGCCAGCCAAGAGGAAACAGAACCAGGACATACACCGAGTCCTGTGCTTGGATTTAGGGGAACAAGCAGGACAGTGGTCTTTTTTTAACATTTCTTTTAGTATAATGACACTCCAATGCTTTTGCACCTGCAGTCACGCCTTTCCAGGTTCCAATGGATTAGTTTACGAATTAGATAGGAAAATTATAAGTACTGACTGAAGGATTTAAACAGTATTGCTGTTCTTTACATGTACCCAGTAGTTTCAGTTTGCTTATCTGAGAATTCTAACAGTACACTAACTAAATAATTTGAGATCATTTTGCAGTGATGAGCTTATTTCATATTATTTTCAGTCATTTTATCACTATCATTCATTTCCTTATTGTCTACACTAGAGTATATTTGGTTTCCTATTTTCAAAGAATTCTAAAAAGAAAAACTTTAGAGTGTCTTCTATGGTTAGTAATTTTGAAGAACCAGTTAGATCTACATTGATGATAGGAATAAGTATTTTACCCTGTATCAGTTGCATTAGCTTTCTTTTTAGAGGTAATGATGGACTTGTATAGTTCCTGTTCACACCTATGCCCTCCCTCAGTTTATCAAAACTGGTAACAAATGAGTTGAGGGGTGCGCCCCTGTAATCTCAGCACTTGGGAGGCTGAGGCAGGAGGATCACCGCAAATCTGAGGCAGCCTGGGCGGGCTACATAGTGAGTTCAAGGCCAGCCTGAACTACATAGCAAGACCCTGTCTCAAAAAAAAAAATGTTCAGAGGGATTTTCTATAGTGGAATTTAAACAATTCCGACACAGACCAGCATGACTGACATTAAATGTCTCTATCAGCAGTTACCTCTTGCTCTGGTCTTTCTTTAAAGGTTCTCACATTCCGAATTGGAAATCACCCAGGTGTTCTGAACCCTAGCCCAGCTGTGGAGGCCGTGCAGGTGCGTCTTGTGTGTGCCCACCCTGCCAGTGTGTCGGTGACACCAGTGTACACAGTGCCAGCTGGCATCCAGCCGTGTCCTCTGCTGCAGCACAGTGCGCAACTGGTAGGTACAGGGTAGACAGCAGCTCCCTTGACGTTGCTGTCCTTCATGTTTTAGGGACAGGGATCTGGGCTGTGGCCCTTGTCTCCTTAAAGTGAAGGGAACTGTTTCATTTACTTATCCCCTGGCAGTGTCTGAGTTACAACTGGCCACACTTGGTGACATGACCTCACTTACTGTACTGGAATACATACATAGCTTGTGATTATGGCAACAGACAGTTGACATCTCTCTATGTAGCCTCCACATAGCTTTGCTGATACCCTTTCCTACTAAACCTTTTCTTTTTTTGAGAGAGATTGTCTCCCTGTGTAGTCCAGGTCAGCCCTAACTGTGTGCCCAGGCTGTCCTCAAGTTTTTGGTCCTCCTGCCTGCATGCTGTGGTTACACGCGTGTACCACCATGCCTAGCTCCTACTACATCTCTTATTATCATTATTAATAAGTAATAAAATTCACCTCTATTCTAAATCTTCTGTGAAGAATAGTGATAAGCCATAACATAGCTATTAAGTAAGTAACAGGGACTGAGGAGTAAATGAGTTGTCTAACATAGAAACTAGAACAAGAGACTATACAATAAACTTAAGAGAACAGAAGGCATTCTTTACCCTGTGCAGAATCCAACAGTAAATTTTCCCCATTTTACAGATGAGGAAATTGGGGCTCCTAGAAGTTGAGTAATTTTCCCAAAGTCATCAGCCGGATAATAGTGCATTCTTCTGTCTCACTCCAAAACAGGCTGACTTTAGGCTATATTGCCTCTTCTTGTAAAAGAACAAAATGAGATATTACAGGATAGAAACACTTCCTTTTTTTTCAGAATCAAATTCTATGTTAATGTTATTACTTGCAGTTTAGGAATGATTCAGTTTTTGTTGTTCATTTTTGTTTTCTTGTCTTGAGACGAGGTCTTACTGTATAGGTTATTTAAGCTGGGCTGGGGATTTAGCTCAGTGGCCTGCCTCACAAGCGCAAGGTCATGAGTTCAATCCCCGGTACCAAAAAAAAAAGAATTTTAATTTCCATATGTAGGCTGGCCTTGAACTCTCTATGGTCTCAAAATCATCATCTTCCTGCCTCAGCTGCTCAGTGCTAGGATTACAGATGTACACCACCACTCCAGGCGATGAATGATCCGCTTTCTGGTTTGTTTTTTTTTGTACTCAGGACCTTGCACTTTCAAGGCAGGCGCTGTGCCACTGAGCTGAATCCTCGGCCCTGAATGTTCACTTTTTAAAAACACACTCACGGGGCCAGGGATTTAGCTCAGTGGTTCCGCTGCCTGCTGCCCAAACACAAGGACCCGAGTTCGATCCCCAGTACCAAAAAAAAGACCACATAAAAATGCACTCATGGAGCCAGGCATGATGGTGCGCACCTGAAATCCCAGCACTCAGAAGGCTGAAGCAGGAGGATCACTGTGAGTTCGAGGCTAGCCTGGGCTACATAGTGAGTTCAAGTTCAGCCTGAACTACATAGCAAGACGCTGGCTCAAAAGAGAAAAAAAAAATTCATGGGCTGGGGGTGTAGCTCAGTTGTAGAGCGCTTGGCTGGCATGTACAAGGCTCTGGATTTGATCTCTAGTGTCGCAAAAACAAGCAAATAAATAAAAAGTAGAAACCACTCAAAGTGGAGAAGAAAAAAGTTAGCTCCATAATACATTCAGTGTCATTCCATTATCATTCAGCGTCATTTTCTTTTGTTTGTTTGTTTGTTTTTTGATACCAGGGATTGAACTTGGGACCTTCAGCTTGCAACACAGGCGGCAGTACCACTGAGCTAAATCCCCGGCAGTGTCATTTTCTTTTGAAATAATTCAAATTTATAGGAAAGTTGCAAATAAAAATACAATTTTTTTCTCTTGTTTTGTGTTTACCCCAGGTTTTTTTTAAAACGATTTTTAGCTGATGTTCACAAAGAGAATGAGTAATTAAGCTGTGCCCTTAATGAAAGGAAATCCTATCTAAGAAAGTACATTTCTTTATAGAGCTGTGTCATATCATCCCTTGGGCCCTCTGCTGGAAAAGTAGAATCAAGTCTGAAATACTGTCTTTTTTGGGGGGAGGGGGTACCAGGGATCGAACTCGGGTCCTTGTGCTTGCTTGCGCAGCAGGCGGCAAAACCACAGAGCTACATCCCCGGCCCAATACTGCTTTTTAATTGTATCCTCTAGTATTATAGATGTAGGACAGTACTGTATCATACCTCTGTGAATGTAAAATATCTTATACCTGCTTTATGATATGTAGCAGTGGCTGTGCTTTATCAGAGCTGGTTTTAATGGTGTTACTCTGGAATGTTTTCTTTCTAGATGATGATTAAGAAGCTAATAAAAAAAATGGTGCCAGGTACCACAAAAGTAACAAAACTCTGCTGTTTTCTGGGTATTTTTCTTTTCTTTCTTTCTTTTTCTCTTTTTTTAATGGAGTGTGCTGGATATCTCTATAATTTTGTTCAGATGACTGCAGAAGCTGGAAAAGCTGTTGTTGATATTGATGTATAACATACTGCTATTATTGGTCTTTTATATAAATAAAAAATATATATATGTACATATAATTTGAATTTTTGGAAACTTTAACTGTGCTGTCAACTTTGGAAAAAGTTATCCCAGTTTACTGTATTGAGTTGTCATTGTACAGAAATTAACAGCCATATTGGTCTAGAAACATTCAACTTAATTTTTTTTCCATTTGTACAGGGGTAACGTACTGCATTAAGTATGTAAGGTCTTGTCTACATGAGTTTGATTACAGAAACTAATAAAGTATTCTCTAAATCATGAAAAAAATACAACTTTTACCCTGTGAGACATTTGAGAATTTCAGACATGATTCTCCACCACCCCATTCACATGCTTCAGCATGTTTCCTTTTTTCTTTTTTTTTTGCCTGTTAACATTTTTATTTTTTTCAAGATAACAGGAATTGTATACAAATGACAGTAGACCCTTGCCTCTTTCTTTCTTTCTTTTAAATTTTTTTGGTACTGGGGATTGAACTCAGGACCTTGTGCTTGCGAGGCAGGCTGCGGCACTGCTGAGCTAAATCCCCGGCCCTCTTTATTTTTTTTTAATCTAAATAAAAGGATGAATTCTCAAGGAAAATGAAAAAGCTATGTACATAAGGGACTATATCTTGCTTCATCGTCTGCTTGGAACCAGTAGTTGTGTTGCTGTCATAGAATCAGGAAATAGGTTGTGGTAAGTTGAAAGAGGTACATACACTGCTGTTATTATTTTACCAGCAAACCACCTGCCATGCAATGCTTTGACAGCAGCAATAGCTGCAGCAGTTCACGTACACATTGCCCTGAGCAGAATTCTTGTCAACATAAATATGAATAACTCCTCCACACTTATTACATTCTTCAATCACATCATCCTTAATCTCTGTGTCCCATCCAACTTCTTCTTCTGTTTGAGGATTAAATATGTTAGAGAGTTGGAAACACTGTGTTGCAAGGGGTTGCACAGAGGCAGCTGCAGCTAAAGCTGAAGCTTCAGTATGTTGGGAAAGTTGTGTTTGCAAATCTATAACAAAAGAGAATTCTGTCACAGCGCCAAATGCCAAAGAGCCACTCATTTGTAAAGCTTGTTGTGCAGCTGGTGGAATCTGCAAACCAGTACCTTCCGCAAATCTAGCCATTAATTGGGAGATGACCAGTGGTTCCCAAGTCGGTTCCAGTCCTTTCCAGTTCATCACTGTCCAAAAATGAACTAGCACTGGAAGCATCTGTACGTTCAGCAACATGACCAACTTTCATTGGCATTCCTGCTAGTTCAAATCCAGTAAGCTGTTCCAAAGCCTTCTTGGCATGTTCTGAGTCAGAAAATGTAATGAATCCCTATCCCTTAGATCAACCTGTTTCACTGTCATCATGAGCTGGATACTTTCGATCCTTCCCAAAGGCTCAAATATCCCCCGAACCATATCTTCAGTTATGTTAAAGTGCAGTGAGCCCACATAAAGCCTCATAGGTCCAGCACTTACCTTTTGTAAATTGTTTGCCATTGCTACAGCTCTGTTTTTTTCTGCCTGTGATGCTTGTACTATGATTGGCTCTCCTAAAACCGGTTGGCCAGTTAATCCTATTGCTAGAGCCACTGAACTAACATCAGCAAACTCCACATAAGCAATTCCTTTGGAACGTCTTGAATTTTTATCAGAAATTATCCTTACATCTCGAACCTTTCCTACTGTAGAGAGAAACTCTTCCAAATCTCTTGGTTGAATTCTTGCTGCCAGCTGCATACAGAAAACTGTCCTTGCATCTCTTTCCTCTGTAGTTAGATTATCAATAGGTTCCCTCACAGGGCTCTTGTCTTTTCTGAATGGACTTTTGCTTTGTAAATGTCATCTGCTTTATTTGATGCTATGAGGCAACCCTGTCTTTCTTCAGATGGCACTGTTAAATTTTGGTCCGGAGTAGGGACTTCTGTAGTGGCCTCGGAATCTGCAATCTTGACTTCTTGAACGGCTCTGTCGCCTTTCTTTGCTTCTACTTTGCTTTCGTTCACAGGTTTTGCTCTTTTTCCTTCCTCTATCTCTACTTTCCTTACTATTGCTTCTCTTTCGTTCGTGACTTTGACTTCTGTTCTTGCTTTTCTTACTCTTTTTGCTACATTCTTCATGGCCCTTAGCACTGCTCAGCTTGTTCTAATCCTTATGTTTGACAGTTTGCTGGAATCACAGGTGAATTCATGGGAGTAGAGGTGAGATATCATTAGGCAAGTCTTCTTGTTTGGAATCTTTTTTTTTTTTCTGTGGTACTGAGGATCAAACTCAGGACCTTGAGCTTGCAAGGCAGTCAGCAGCACCACTGAGCTAAATCCCCAGCCAAGGCAAGTCTTGTAAGGGGCCTCAAGCATTGTTTCAATATCAGTATCATCTGCCATTTTCTCTAAACACCTGTGCAGGCTTTCAGATGCCTGTAGTGCTCGTATTCAGAAAGTCATCCTTTTTTCTTGATATATGATTCATAAAGCCCACTCCTTTAGTG